ATTTCCACTTGCAGAAGATGTTATAGGGTTGGAAAAAAATATGGCTATTTAAAGTAACTTGAAATCTCGAACTAATTCAATAAAATGTAATACAATAAAACTTCATTGACTTTTTTAACTATTTTTTGAAGTAATCGTGCAATAAAACAGGAATAATTACATAATTATTGCACACATTTTCATGTTATACCTACGTAGGTATCACATGAAAATGACATGTGTAATAGTAAAAAACCTTTTAAATAAATATTTATTTCATTATTTTGGATTACGTTATAAGTTTACTAGTATTATCTGTTATTAAGAAAATTTACTCATATTATAAGCATTTATACAGTTATTTTTTATTCCACGTTTTTTCAATGGGATTCACAGTTCGATTGAAAAATAGTGAAAAATAATCAAAATATTGCATAACTATATCATGCTTACACATAGTTTAATAAGAATGGGAAACTCACAAATATTATTTTTATCTATCTATAATATATAAAGCTTAATTACCACTCACTGACTCACTGACTCACTCACTCCATGCTTTTTTCGGGTAGAAGGAGGGGGAAAATGACGTTTTCATGTATGGAGAGTGACAATATTTTTTTAATTCGAGTTGAAATGGCATATCGGTACAGCCAAAAAACAAAATGGCGGCGAGATAATTTTTTTAAATTCTAAAGTATTCACTCTACGGTTACGATATTCAAAATGTTTGTAGATTTGGCTAAAAAAATAAGGCTGAAAAAGGGTTTGATTAAAAAAACAAAATGGCGGCCGAGATATTTCACCTGGAAATTTGGCATTTTTCGACCTCTGTTCGGGCAATCGTCGTTTCTTTTGTGATTTTTGTGGAAGGGGGATTTTTACGCTGGCGACTCGGAAATATAGTCGATTTTTACGTATGGGGAGTTTTCGCATGCGTGTCAATATGGCGGCGGCGGGGGCGGCCATTTTGTTTCGGTAATGAAAAATCGCCATTTTCCAGTGAGATTTTCTCCAAGATGGCGGCGTTGGACGGGTTCGCGTCGTATGGGACGGTCGTGGGGCTCGGTGGGCTCTTTCTACTTCACTACCGATTTCTACCATTTTCGTGGTAGTTTATGAGATTTTGGGAGAAAAGTGAAATTTCGAAATACGCACTTTTCGCGGAAAACAGACTCGATGCGGTGTGGCGCCGGGGGAGTCCTATGACTTTTGGTAGTTTTCGTTTCCGCGAGCTGACAACCCTGGGCTCCACGGCAGAAAACGTGTTTTTCGACATGCCCTCATAACCCGAATTGTTTGGGAACCTGGGTGGCCAGCGGAGAAAATCTGTGAATGAGGTCCCTTGCCTGATATAGTCGTGACTATGGGAAAATTATGAAACTCGGCAAAATCAATATGGCGGCGCCGGCAGCGGCCATTTTGTGATTTTTTCACTTTTTCGAAAAATTCTAACGCACTTTTAGCCTACATGGCAACATCGGAGCTCTTCCTCTGGTATGGATTGATCGTGAGTCTCGGCCACCTCTTTCGAATGAGGTGAAATTTTTCCCCGATTTTAGGGTAATTTCGGAGATTTACCCCAAAAAGAAGAAAAGTAGAAGGAGCCGTTTGGGAATTTCAAAAATGCTTTTCCTCGACGGAGGGCACTCTCCGAAATGACATTTGACCATTTTCATCGTCGTCACCTGGCAACCCTCGTGGTTGCGGGGATTTGAAAAATTTTGCCCATTTTTTACTTTGTCGACTCTAGCGCAGTCGGTATTGCCACTAGGAAAATGGTAAAAAGTGCATCGGATGCGCTATCGAGTTGGCCACACCAGTACGGAGCCGGATTTTCAAAATCCAAGATGGCGGCCAAACCAGCGGCCGTTTTATCCGGAAAATTGGGTATCGTCACCACATCGAGCCGATTTTGACGCACTTGCCGACATTTGTCAGAAGACTTCCGGGGAAATAATTTTTAGGCAAGTAGCTGAGGGGTTGCCAGGTGAAAAAAAATCTTGAAAATTTTTGATACTTTATGAGATTTTTGAGGAAACAATTTTTGTCGAATTTTTGAACTTTTTTGATGCAAATATTTTAATTTTAACTTTTCAAGATACCTGATGGAAAAAATAGAACGATCGACTGGCAACACTGAGAGCAAACAACGTTTGAAATTCAACCTCGATTTTGACCGACTTGGTAACCCCGCAGGTATTTGGCATATATGGAGCTATTGTGTATCTCTATAGACTCTTTCAGGTGGTGGAAAAAAATTACCCGATTTTAGGGTAGTTTTTGAGATTTACCCCAAAAACTGTTAATGTCAAAGGAACAATTTTAGAACTTGAAAATTGGTATCCGACGATGGAGTGTGCATCCCGAAATCACATTTGACTATTTTCATCGCCTACATCTGGCAACCCCGGCAGCTACGGCGGTTTGAAAGTTCAATGCCCACTATTCACGTTTTGGACTCTAGCGCAGTCATTATAGCCGCTAGGAAAATAATAAAAACTGCGTTGGATGCGCCAATAGATGGGCTACATAAGTTTGAGGTTGAAATTTCAAAATTCAAGATGGCGGCTTAAACAGCGACCATTTTATCTAGAAAATTGATCATTCTTCACGACTTTCACTTTATAGAGCTGATTTTGGCGTTTTCGGTAACATTTTTCGGAATACTTTTAACAAAAATATGTATTCAGCTGAAGTGTTGCCAGATGAAAAAAAAACGGTAAAATTTTTGATACCGAGATTTTTGAGAAATTTTCATGTATGTCATTGATGAAAAATATTAAAATATTTTTTTACAATGATTTTACTGTTTAATAAAATTTTTACTGTTGCATTTATAACATAATTGATGGAATAATTTGAGTTCTAGCAACACTGATAGTAGTCACCATATTAATTTCAAAATGATTCTGACTGAGTTGGTGACTCGGAAGCTTTGCATATATAAACCGTTTCCGTATCTTTACTCAATCTTTACGTGGTGAGAAAAAAAAATCCAATATTTTCACCAGAAAAATAAATTGAGCGAGAAATTGTCATTCGGTTAGATTAGAACTGCGACTAAAACAAAAAGCGAGCGAAGCGAGCCATAAAAAGTGACCAATTAGAGAGATTTGATTAATTGGTAAGGTAAGAATTGTGACTAAAATAAAATGCGAGCGAAGCGAGCCATAAAGAACACCACCAATAGAAATCTGATCAATCGGTTATGTTAGCACTGTGACTCAAACAAAAAGCGAGCGAAGCGAGCCATAAAAAATGGAGACCTGGTCAATTGCTTAAAGTGCTGTGACCAAAATAAAGAGCGAGCGAAGCAAGCCATAATGCTAGACCATTAAGAGAGACCATCGATTATGTTAGCAACGTGTCTAAAACAAAAAGCGAGCAAAGCGAGCCATAAGGAGTAACTGTTAAGAGAGATATGGTTAATTGGTAGGGTTAGAACTATGACTAAAATAAAATGCGAGCGAAGCGAGCCATAAAGGACACCATCAATAGAGACCTGGTCAATCGGTTAGATTAGATCTGCGAAAAAAACAAAAAGAAAAAGCGAGCGAAGCGAGCCATAATAAATGGAGACCTGGTCAATCGGTTAAGGAACTGTGACTAGAAAATGTATCATTTTTCACGGTTTTTACTTTATAGAGCTGATTTTGGCATTATTGATAACATTTTTCAAATTACTTACAGAAAAAAAATGTATTTAGTTGAAGTGTCGCCGGATGATAAAAAACCAGTTTTTTTTGATACTGTGATTTTTAGGAAATTTTCTATTAAATAAGAATAAAAGACTAAAAGACGACGTATACAACATTTATTTTAAGTTTTCTTACGTTTTTCAACTAAATATTTCTTTTTATATTGCGTGTAAATTGGCAATCTTTTTTTTATGTATGATGTTTTGCGTAATTAAAGATCTTTTATTTGAAGTTAGAACTTACTAACTTTTTCTAGGCAATTTTATACTGTAAACCCAACATAACAAGAGGTGGTCTTAAAACTCAAATATCTGTATTAACTAAATATTAACTTACTTTTGAATAAGAATAAGACAATAAATGACTACAAGCCGATCTATTCCAAATTTTATTTTAGTTTTGCTTGCGTTTTTCGACTGAATATTTCTTTTTCCAATTAGTGTAAACCGGCAACCCTTTTTCTTTGACGTATGGTGCTTTGTGTACTTAAACATAATTCATTTGAAGATAGAACTCACTAACTTTTTCTAGGCAATTTCAAACTGGAAACATAACAAGAGGCGGACCTAAAATTCCACCGCTCCGATTCCACAAGCGACTCGTTTATGCTCAAGAACTTTACAATAAGTAAAGCCATATTGCTTGCGTTTTCGACTGAATATTTCTTTTTCTATTGCGTGTAAACTGGCAACCCCTTTTCTTTGATGTATGGTGCTTAAACACCTTTCATTTGAAGACTGAACTTACTAACTTTTTGTTGGCGATTTCAAACTATAAAACAAACATAACAAAAAAAAATCGAAAAACTCAAATTCTGCATCGGAGGCGGACTTAAAACCCCACCGCCCCGATTCCACTAGCTACTCGTGACCTCCGCGGGCTGCGAGCAGCCCGGGGCAACCAAGCGAAAGCTTCTATTCTGAAACGAAGGCGGACTTAAAACCCCATTGCATCGTGAATTGATCTATTCTAATATCTGGCCACGACATCGGTACCCTTTTCATATAATAAATAAATCTTACATAAATAATGTAATGTAGTAATGCAAATACAATAAATACTATTTCTTGACATTTAATTGATTAATTAATGATAGTAACACTGATGGAAATATATGTTCGATTGATTTTTAATATGATACAGTAATTTACTAATAAATAAGAATAAAAGAAAAATCTTATTTTAAGTATATATACAAAATTTATTTTATGTTTTGCTTGCGTTTTTCGACTGAATATTTATTTTTCTATTAAGTGTCAACTGGCAACACTTTTTCTTTGATGTCTGGTGCTTTGTGTCCTTTAATACGTTTTATTTGAAGATAGAACTTACTGACCTTTTCTACGCAATTTCAAACTGTAAACCCGACATAACAATAGGCGGACTTGAAACCCCACCGCCCCGATTCCACCAGCTACTCGTGACCTCCCCGGGCTGCTCGCAGCCCGGGGCAACCAAGCGAAAGCTAGTAAAAATATATAAACTTAGAAGAAACTCAATCATAACCTCCCGAGGAATCTTCTGTTAAAAAAACGGAAGCAGTATCTGGTCTATTAAATTTGCTAGTAGATGCTAGTGGCTGATGAACGTCATATTTCTGCTCAGGTGGCTCAACAAATTCCATACAGTTCTCGACGTGTTCATTTCTCCCTGTAAATATTCTTCCTACTTGCCGTGACTCTTTAAATCGCACAATCGTTTGCATTAATTCAATTCTTAGTAAAATCTTTTCATCTAATGTAAAATCTCTCAATATGGGCAAAAGTGACATTAAGAATGCTTTATCATCATCGTCTTTCCTATTATGCCTTATTTTTTTATAAGAATTTAAGAAATTTTCATCGTCCACTGACACTTCCTGATCAATGACAGCGGTACTTCTATTTGATAAACTTATTTTATCACATCTTGTTTTATTATATCCTGTTCTAAAATTACAAGAATTTATGATGTTTTCTTCATTTATCAATGTTTCTTGGTCTATGTTGGTACTCATTTTTCTCTTCTGAAAACGTTTTCCTTCAATCTTAGTGTCATCGGAATTAGATGGAGAATATGATTTACTGTCTTCAATGTCTCGTGGACATGAGCTACCTAGAGTCATTTCGGTAGATTTATTATCAGCTTCGAAATCTTGTATAGTCGTATATTCTGTACTTGTTGCTTTAGTAAATGGCAGCAGAAACAACAGTGAGTTAAAATACTTGTACTTTGCTTTTTTCTTGATACCGTTTCTCGGTACAAAATTTTTTTGATATAATACATCACGTCTAAAGCAACCTCTAAGTGACTCCCATCTTTTATGAACTTCTTTAACTGGAATCAAATAAAACTTAGTCAAAATAGATAACAACAGTCCTTATTGTATAATAAGTATAGTAACTTAAAGTAAATCATTATTGAACACGCAATTTTGTAGCAATTCTGATGCGTTGAATACGGCATCTTATATTTTTTAGATGGCAGCCCCGCTGTAAAGCGTCATAAATATAAAAACCATGTAAATAGACGTAGATGTTATTATACTAACCGTATTTTTCTTTTTCTTGTGAAGAATATGTTGTCCATTTGCTATTGAGTATTAAATAAATTTCTTCCCATAGTCTCTTCTTTCTATTGCGGTCATTATAATAACGTGAATTTGTATCGTATATATCACTACGCTTTTGAACCTCGTCAATCAAAATGTCGATGTCAATATCTATATCTGTAGCATCCATTTTGTCACATACAAAGTCAAACGGGTTTACGTATTGAACGCTCGCGGTGAACTGTCTGTCGGACTTTTTGTAGGGCATGTACGATTCGTGCGTGCGCTTAACGCATTATTTCCACTCGGAACAAAATGTCAGCCAATGAATACAATATTTTTGTTGTCGATTAAAAAAAGTTGAACGATCGACAATATTATCAAATGTCAATGTGGCTATTATTACTTACTCAATATTCGCCACACTTGTGACTAACTTTTAAAGAAAAAATACTTAATGAATAGTTAAAAACTTTTTACAGTACGATTAAATAATCTATTATATATTATATTTTTCTTGTAGAGGCAGGTATAACTTTAAAAAAAAAATGTTATTCGAAATCCTTCTATGCTTATTATAACTTCCCGTAATTAATTTACAGACATTTTGTGAAATAAAGACGTTGAATATTCTTTTAATACAAAAATTAGCTACTTGTATTGTAACTATGTTTTCCCGCTACTGCGCCCGTCAATATAATATCCATGTCAGCGACGTATTAGCATACTGGTATTAAGGAGCTTCCCGTAGGTAGGTGAAAGAATTTTTAAAATCTGTCCATTACTTTCAGGGTTTATTCAATGCAAACAAACAAACCATGAAATATTTCCTCATTACATATAATATAAATTTTTCGCCAGCGGCTTGTGTACTTTAAAAGATTTCAGCGTACAGACAATAATAATAATAAATGGTTTATTGCCTCAGATTACAAAAACAATACATTATATCACACAATACATTATATGACAACGCGAAGCGACTTTGTTTTGTGCTATCTTTTTATAGATTAGTATACAATTTAGATATGTACTCACCTTTCTCGACGATTTCCACCCGCTGCTAACTCATGTTCGAGAGCTGCAATTTTTTCTTCGTGTCTTGTCCGCTGGGCCTGTGCACGCCTTTGTTGTTCTTCAAGTGCCAGCACTATTTTCTCCAACCGATGAATCTGTTGTTGTTTGTTTTCGAGTGTCGCGAATAATTCTTGAATTTCTTCGGCTTTTGCAGCAATTTGCTTGTTAACCTAAAATATTTGCAATAATTATATTTGCAATCACATTTGTCCATCTTAAAAGTCGTTATCTATACCCAAAGCAGTTATCCTGTATGGTGTCGTATAATTTATTACGACAATATAGACAATATAATTACTTTAGCTTCATAATAAGCGGAGTACCGTCACTATATTTTCTATATCCAAAAATGAATGATGAATATCCAAAAATTGTACTGTTAATGTTTTGTTCACTAACATAACTGATCAATATTTAGCCGCGCAATTGAATGGCACCATTGAATTTAAGGAGTAGCCATCCAAAGATATACGATGTACTTTTCTCATTAAGTGATTTTAGTTTTGACGCTCTCTCCATTTATCGCGCTATTACTTGCATCGCACAATAAAATCTAGAGAGTCTTGTTATTACTTGTAACTTAACACCCTATTGCTAATTTCTTTTCTCCTGAGCTGCTGTGGAGTAATCCTTTGTTTTATGAAATAACGTAAGAATTGATACTTATTATATAGTGTGAGTTGAAAAAAAAATCAAATGCAGCTTACTTCGCCTACAATATTCATGCGTTGTTCTAGATCTTGCTGTAAAGCGGCCAACTCTCGACTCTGTTCAGTCTCCTTGTTTTTGAGCATGTTAATTAGCTCTTCGCGCACCTGAATAATCCGTATGTTGAATTTAAAACACGTGTATATTACAATTGGTGATAGAAACAACTATTTATACTCTGCCACTATCGGTTAGGAGCTTAAAAACTGATGAACCTTGATGACTCTTGCCTGGGCACGTGATGTTTTGTCTTGCTGTTCAAGTTGTTGCTCTTTCTGCATCAATAACTCTGTCAGCTCTTCATTTCTGTGAACTGTTTCCAGGAGACTCATCCTTAGATTCATTATCTTTAATAAAAAAGAATATTCTGTACACTCTGTTTATGTCTCGAAGAAAAATAATGATCGAAACTATACGTTACATTATAATTAAAATTACCTCTTGTTGCAAATCCTGGTAACTGATACCGTCGGGAGCCTCTCGACAGTTGGCAATCGCACGATTGTGAGCTTGTAGGTCTCGGACGTACTGCTCATATTGAGCTACTTTTTGTTCACTGTACAAAAAACAAGGTCATGTTAGCCTTATGCAATTTTTCTATTATAATTAATGTTTTCGTAATAGTATTTACTTAAGTTTTATGGTTTTAGTTAATTCTCTCGTCTGTAGTTGCAACTTGCTAACGATTTCTTCTTTACTGAGTAGTTCAGCAGCCAGTTTCTTTTGCATTTCTACTTTGTTTCCTGAATCCTGTGAATAATAATAAATAGGGTAATTTAATAAGGATTCGATTTAAATCATGCTCTCGTTACAGTATTCACCTTGTAGATGTTGAAAAAAATATATCAGGAATATAAGACTGAAAAATAAAAATGTTTTTAAATAAAAAGTGGTCAAGATTCCGGTTAAATTAATAACATGCAACATGACAAAATAATCACCGCTATCTTTGTCATTGTTTCCAAAAATTTGACTTTCTCTCGTTTATAAGTTGACATTTCATCTTCTGTCATTCGTAGAGTTTCTTTAGTAGCTTGCAGCTCCGCCCATATGTCCATTTCTCTTTCCGTAGGCAAATCTAAAACATAACATCTAAAAATATCTGCACCAAAGATAATGTAAAACGTCTATAAATAAATAAACAAGATAAATAGTAGTTTAACGAGGAAGTATTTAAAAAAAGTTCCCAAAATCAAACTAGATGTCGCTACGGTACTTTCTTGATTTCTCTATGACAACCCTTCCGGTTTTTTTCCATGTATAAAAGTAAATTAGTTTTTAAAACTGAATAAACAGCTCATATTCTATTTGTACTTTTTCGTATTTCTATTAATATCTAAGTTTCGAACTTTACAAATTTCAGTTTTTCAATTTGTTAGTTAAAAGGAAAGGAAATGACTATCTTGGGTCCATTCGTTTCCTGCAAAAATCAACTTTAGCTAGAGTCGCCATCTAGTGGAGGTGCTTTTTAGTGTCTTTTTTAAATACTTCCTTATTGACTAGCCAACCTGGATTTGGCCTACTATTTTCTAATTCAGTTATCTTAGCTCTGAGTTCTTCGATTACTTTATGACTGTCTTTTAACGCATTTTGTGCTATTTCTTTTTGTTCTACTACTTGTTGATATATTATTTTTTGATCCTCTAAAGTATGTTTCAACTCCTTTAATTGATTAGTTAAATCTTGTACTGTCGATTTGTGTTGATTTGTCATATTTTCAATTTGCTCTTTCAGTTGTGCCACTCTGTAACAAATATGTTTTGGTATAGACACGTCAAACCGAATCTTGTTATCACACAAACCATACGATTACTTACTCAACTTGCAAAGCGTCACGTTGTTGCGCTAAGTGACTACTGGCTACTTCTCCAGTTTTCAAAGATTCTTTCAATTTTCTTGCGCGTGCTTCTAACTGCACTTCTTTCTGTCGACTCTGCCCAAAATTTATTTCATTTTAAATACATTGATTTCAAACAATATTGTAGATTCTAAATACATGTGATCTTAATATTTAATTCATAACTATAAATGTAAGTAGGAGCTGATTACTAATGGTCTTTGCGTGTAAACAGATTTCCACCATCAACAATACAAAAAATAGAAACAATACGTATGGAATAGCATTTGCGTCTGTACCTTGCACATTTAGATCGTTAGAGTACTTACCTGGTCTTCTAAGGTTTTTACAGTGCCTGTGAGACTAGCGATGCTGGCTTCGGCTTCCCGCAACTGTCGGTCCATCTTAGTGACTCGCATTCGTGTTTGCCTCAACTGAGACTCCGTGGTCGACAATTTATCTTTAATCGCAATACGCGCGCTGCGTTCTTCTTCAAGCTCGCGACGCGCGTCCTTTAAAAACAATTAGTCAGTTTAAAAGTGTATTGTATTATCTTAAGTATTCAGGTGCCCGGTGCACTATAAAAAAAATTGTGAAATACCTCCAAAAGCTTAATTTTATCATTTCCATTTCGCAACTGTTGCAGTTCGTTTATGGCTGCGGTACGCACTTCAAGATCTTGCCTTAAGTGAGCTACTTCCCGAACCAGCGACTCGCCTACCGCCAAAAGAGCACTACGCTCCTGCCAGGCTTGTCTAATAAATATATTTTAAATAAAGTAAATATATAAAATAAATTGTACTGTAGTGTATGCGAACAAATAACTCGGTGATAATATAAACGTATATAAAATGTTTTATGCTGAATGATTTTCTAACGGATCAACGCTTAGGATAAAATACTAATCGTAGAGATCTGAAAGGAGGGTGTGTTCTTTGTATCACGTAGGCATCCGATAAGAAGATTTTCCGAATTCTATCCCCAATGAAAAACGGAAGCAAATTTATTTATAAAATGACACAAAGAAAACCGAATTATTTAGAAATATAATTATAAGTATAGCGTGACAGCGCTATGCACCTCGTGAAGTACAAAATTGACTACAAAATGGACTATAAAATTTGGCTTTTTATAGCCTCTTATTCTTCTAATTTTTATTGCATACGATACAAACTGAAAATATAATATTATAATCCTAGTAACATTATAAATACAAAAATTTAAGGATGTACGAGTATGTATGTTTCACGCAAAAACTACAAAACGGATTTTGACAAAATTTTGTAGGTATACGGATAATGAATATGGCTGCTTTTTATCCCACTAATTGGTTCCCTAGGGATAAATATAATGTCATGTCGGGTGAAACCGATGGCGGTAAGCTAGTAGGTATTATAATGTAATTTAAACTTGAGATTTTTTTTAGTCATCAGATGTAGGACTTAATAATTTATGGTGTAATGCTTGCCTGGAGAGTTGCGAAACTGAGTCTACGACGTCGTCTGCGCAAGATTTTAATGCACGCAGCGCTTCGCACAATTCGAGCCCGTGCGCATTATATTGAGCAATCCGGTCCAATCCCTCGGGCCCATTGTCTTCCTAAGAGTGTTCATACTTTAGCCATTGCAAAGTTATCGCAGAAAAATAATAAATCGTAAACGTTAAAAAATACAACAGTGAAACAGAGGTTTACTCTTTATAAAGGTTTTCTCTACCGTTCATTTCGTAGTCACTTTTAGATTTGTTACCAACTCCTCTACTATATACCTATATAGATCTATATTGTTATAATTAACTAGTATTTCAGTTTCATCATCATCACTCAGGCCTTCCTTATGGATGGTTAAGGAGAATGGACTATAAAGCTCCACATTAGCCCAATGAGGTTACCCATGACATGAGCGACCCTTGCAAAATTGGTTTAGTAATAACAATCGCGGGCGAGGTGCTTATCCACTACATCACCGAGCTACTCTAAAAAAAGTTTACTAACATATTTTTCTAGAAGTTCTTTCACCCAGTCTATAATCTCTTGACGAGCAGTAAACGCCTGTAGGCATAATTCAGCAAAACGGGTGGGAACTTTAGTTAATTTTGCATCTAGTTCAGCCAAAGCACGTTCATCTAGAAAATAGTTATTTTTGAACAATTACTGCTACTGTTCCTACACTATATACTATGCTATACTCAGTAAAGATCCTTTTAATGACTTTGAAACAAGTTTTATGTATTCGGTGAATAAGATAGGTAATTCAGTCGGTAAATGCTATTCTGATTAAGAACGTCAATGTGCGTACTGGGTGTCAAAAACTATGTTTCATTTATTTGTAAAACATAACAATTATTGCAAAACTTATTAATCCAAACCCTCGACTACGAAGAGGTTAACATATTCATCATATTTTTCTATATTGAATGAGAATTTAATACGTTTTATAATTTGTTTTTAGAAAAAAGCAATTTCACAAATTCCTATTTTGACCCAAAAAACCTCTATTAATATTAAGAACCGCAGAACTCTCCACCGACTCTCAAACAAATTTCTATATATTTTATATATATGTTCTGTTTTAATATATATGTACTGATTTTTTATATGTATGTACAAAAAATAACCTAATTGTGTGACAGTATCGATGATACTCGGCTCCATAGAAGCGGTAGAGTTTCGTAAAAGTTGAGCCACCTCATCAGCAGCCCAGTCTGCCACGTTGAAGAGTACCAACTCCTGCTGCGGCTGTCCTTCGCCACTACCTGACAACCCTTCTTGCGCCATACGGTCACGCAGCGCTCGTAAACATTCAAATAGTTCCAGCATGGCTTGCTGTAGGTAAAATATAGGAAGAGCTCTTAATTCACGGGGAACGGGCGTTTCGTCGTATACCGCGAATATAAAATGGTATCTAATCAGTATGAAACCATTTTTTGCCCGAGGCTGATACTAAGCTAGCTCAAAAGATAATTATAATTAGATTGGTACCCGACCGCCCGTAGGATTCGGAATTTAACTTATAATAAGTCTTTATTTCACGGATGGATAAACAAAGACATCGCACATCCTCAAATACCCATATCTCTTAAATCTATTACTAAGACTTCACTGTCTGTTCCATAGATGCAATGCCATAAAAAACTTCATGTGAATATATGCTTACAATATTTTTTAAATGACACCAAACTAATTTTGTTAACGATTTTTTTTTTACCAATAAAGGTTTTATTTTTAACCACGAAACACAGAAATTCTGTGTCCTGTGTGAGCATATAATTTATTTTACCTGTGAACAATGCGACTAAGGATTACCTAGCTTTCACTACATACAATCAAAACGCATTTTATTAAAAGACGGAGTAAAGCTTCACCTATTTTTATTCTCTTTCTTATTCAATTAAATAGATAATCATATAGGTATATGAAATGTATTCTTCTAAAAACATGATGTGTCCTTTATTTAGACTTTGTTGATATCATTCACTTTTTTTTTTAATAAGTTCGTGTATTCAATTTTTTAACAAACCTGTTTCAAATCCAATTCCTTCTTCATGTTTAAAAATTGATTCTGCTTCAGCGAGTAAACCGTTTTTATGTCGTCTTCATTATTAATAGGTGACTTTGGTGGACTAGGCAGGGAGTTACTGGCTGGAATGCGATCGCGAGTTGGGGTGGTAGGTATATTCATACTTCCGCTTTGGGGCTGAAAAGCAAATTAGCAAAAATCTTCACAGGCTAAGTAGTACCTAATGGTAATTTGCCTTTTTAACGTATACTAGACAATTTAAACAAAAACAAAGTTAGAGTAGGTGTTTCATTTTTCCTTCACAGAAATAATAATTTGATAAAATATTATGACATTTGAATTATCATATATGGTATTTCGACTATCCATTTCCAAAAGGTTATTATAATAAATCAGGTTATAAAGACAAAATGAATACAACGAAAAACAGAGCAATTGCTCATAGCACTATGAGTGGGAATCGTGTTATGAACTTCAGAAATATGTTGCATCCAATTAATGCAAATTAGCGATAAACACCATATTGGGCCTGTTGGGAGTAGACAGACGAGGGGTATTAGGACGACTGGCTGGGGTTCCGTGATGAGGATGCAGAGGTGTTGAAGGTCTGCTTGGCGGATAAGGAGTCTGTGGCCGACTGGATGGTAGACTCTTTGGTGTTTGTGGTCTGCTGCCAAGAGCTGGAGTGTGAGGCCGAGCTTGTGGCAGTGGATCTGAAAACGACCTCCAATATAGGTAGGTGGCAATAACACTATTGCTACGCATTACTTAGTCCGATACAACTTTATAAAAACGTAGCTATTTACAACCAAACTACGGAAACCTGAAGTATACAAGACAGATTTTAATCTATATCTACGATGTACGTACACTGCCAGCTTTCGACAGGCCGTTCGTCTTATTAACAACAAAGCAAGATCTTTGCAGTGAAAAAAATGCAAGATAAACCGGAAAGCGCACTAATGTAGAAAAATATTGTGGTTTTTGAAGTAGATTTCATTTTTGACGCATTACGTGTATAATCTTTGTTAATCTCACCTGTATTATCGGTTTCGTCAACTTCTTCAATAACAGCATGTTCGTAATCTACTTTGTCATTGGACGTTTCTTCGATTATCACCACTGATAGGTTTTCTACTATGTATGTATCTAATTCTTGTTTTGGTGGTTCCTACGACATAACATTAATTTGTTTTTTTAATATACATGATTGCGTAGGTCAAAATTGTACGTCGCTAATACGCGAATCAGAAATTAAATGTAAATTTTCAAATCATTTAATAAGTAAGCAAGGGATAATTAACCTTTCCTCCGAAATCACTAAATTTTTTTTGTAAAATAATTAATACATTCAGTATACAATGCAACCATTTTTTCATTTGTGATCGTGCTATGTATTTAATTCACTTACGCTCATGTTGTCCACAGTATCTGGTTCAGGACTTCGATTTAACTGTGGAATAGTTATCATTTATAGAGAATAAAACGCTAACCAGCAGGACATTAAATGAGTTCTTTGTTTCACCAAGTATATGTGTTTACTTACCTGTATATCAGATTTAGAGTCGCATTTGGAGGGGTTCCGTGGTATAGGGGATTTACCCTAAAAAAACAAATATTTTTCATAGTTTAAGCATATAAATGATTATATAAATGATTTGATATAAATGATGATTACAAACTCTAAATATCCAAGGACAACCACTGACTTTAGGGATTTTTGTCATTTTATTCTTAAGTTTTTTTTTCCTCAATAGATATCTAAATAAGAGATAATAGACAAACGGAAATGAAAATATACAAGTCAAAGTGAAATATTAAATAAATTAATAACATCGGATACATTGCTCGGATTCCAAGATGTGAGTAAAAGTTTTAAAAACGCAGTTAATTCAAATAAGCCTGTGCATTTCGAAATATCTATACAAAATTATGAAGAGGAAAAGTTTTTTTAATTTTGTTTGTTTGCAGGATGTAATCTTTGGAAATACTGATGCGATCATGTAAATTCTTTCACCGACGGGAAGTTACTCGGGTGACAAGTTATAATTTACGCGGGCGAAGTAGCGGAAAAACAGGTAGTCTAGGTAGACTATAGGTACATAGGTAAGTAGAAAAATGATATTTATAATGTATTTACATCATATCATAGCTTTTGATTCGATACGGAATTTGAATTACTGCTGTTCATAAAATTATACAAAAAAAGACTAATAGACGTTTAGAAAACATACCTTGGTAGAGGCGTTAGAGGCAACCGCTCCAGCACCGTTAGTGCTAAAGCTTGATTGTCTTTGAGTTTGCGGTAACAGCAAGTTCCTATTAGTAGCATTGCGGGCGGCGCGCGCTGCAGACGCTGCCGTGGGCCGGGGCGTCAATCGAGGCGGCATGACATCTCAAACAAAATTATAATTCTGATAAGGCAAAGTTTTTGAAAATATAAAAGCATACCTTTTAATACGTAACAATGATGTAGACAAAAGTCTTAATTAAAGGGCAATATTATCACTGTTCTTTTCTTGAAAGAAAACTTGCCAACTTTTGGTTTGACAAAATAAATATAGGCATTTTTTGGTGAAAGACCGCTTAATGAACTTATTAATTTATTTTAATAAAAAAATAAAACTTACATTGTCAACAAAAAAGCAAGCAATTGCCTGATTTTCTATTTAGTAACGTTTCAGCAAACTTAGTGGCTAATATCATTTTTATTAGTAATTTTCTGTGAAAAGTTGTAGAAAAAATGCCTTCAATTGACAATGAGAAAAGCAAAGATATGTCATGCGTAAGTACTGTACTTACTTATTTTAATAAAAATATAAAACGTCATAAAAAGCATATATTTCTTTGTGCCCTTTGTGGTTGTATTATCATGTTACTCTACCACGATAAAGTAGCGTACTGCTGTTTAAAACGCACTAATGTAGGGTATGACGTGTCTAATAATAAAACATTGTATATAGGTGTGATTATAGTCAAATTCAAAGATATGAAACGATTCTAAGAATATATAAAAATATCATTGACTTCATAGCATTTTTACTGTCAAATAGGAAGATTACTAATAGTAATTGTAGTTTAACAATCTTCATACTTACAAGATTTCTCTTTCTGTGTCTTCGATATTGTAGTCATATTCACTGAAGTTTTTCACGGTAACAAACGTAACATTTCAATAATTATAAAATGAGAACATTGCAATTTTGTTGTAAATTTGTCTGAAATTAATAATTTTACGTCATAAAGAAACTGGTTTGCTCCCGTGAAGTTCTAAAACCAAATCCAGTATTACGTCATTTATATTAGTTACTTTTATAAAATATTTTCAATAACTATCGAAAAAGGTTTAATTCAAATTAGAATAAAACTTTCATCGATCCTGGCAACTTGCGTTGAACTGCTTTCATGTTGAAGTTCCGTCATAGTACTAACGAGTTTATTGTAGATGTTTACATTTGGAACGATTTTACCAAATTTCTGTATGATATTAATGTTTTGTGATTTGTTTAATGACTTTATACAGCCGTAAAATTTTGAAGTTATGTAAAATAATAATATGTCAAAGTTAGATCCACATGAAACCAAGTTAAATGGTAAGTCATCTATTGCTGAGGGTGTACGTGACGTTATTCATTACACCCCTTTTTTAAGATAAAAACTTGAAAAAATATCATTAGTTAAAGCATCGTAGTAATGCATTATTAGTACGTAATCAAAGTAATCATCTGTGTTAACAGAATAAGTTTATATAATAAGTTGAGGCAGGTGCCTCAAGGCTTTCTTAAGATATTCTTATCTATACTAATATTATAAAGCTGGAGAGTTTGTTTGTTTGAACGCGCTTATCTCAGGAACTACTGGTTCGAATTGAAAAATTATTTTTGTGTTGAATAGACCATTAAAGGCTGCAACTATTAAGAGCGAAGAAATAATGGAAAACACGGACGAAGTCGCTGGCGGCCACTAGTCTTAGATAATATGATGTCCATATTATGTAAAGCGAAAAGTAACTTATTGTTGACAAAAAGGTGATCTATTTTGTTCTAGTAACATATCTAAATACATAATTTAAAGTTTATTTAAATAGTAGACTAATAATAATGTTATTAATATTAAGTTCGCGTCATGTACCAATTCCATTAAAATAAAGTTTGTTAAATGAAGTAATAAATTACTCTTCCACACTTGTAAGTTACAATGAGATAAAGAACAAGTTTTACGATCATAGCTAACGATTACAGATATTAGTTATGGTATGTGTGTGTATTTTTGCGTTTGAGACATGATAATATAATATAATAAACTAATAATATAAATAATTATACTAATAATTTTTCAGTTTCATCATAGTTCAATGTATTTAACCACTGAAACACAGTTCTTTACGTTTATTATTATTTGTCGTATGTATGAATAATAGGTATCTTGTTAATTTTCTTACTTTTTGAGTTAATTATCGAATATGTTCTGTGGAATTCAAGCTTTGAACTATTATTTGATACATTGTACTCTATTAATTTATATGAAAATAAGGTGAGCTACTTACTTATGGGCGAGAATCTGTGAGCTCAAAATCAACCATTGACATACTTTTAAATCACTTTTGTGCAGAAGTGTACACCTCTTCCCAGGTATGCGCATAAAAAGCAAGTGTAGGGTCATCCGCATACGAAACTACTTTGCAGTTGTCTGTTCCTAATAGACATAACTCGTTCTAATGGACATAATTGTCTATTTCTAATGGACATAACTCGTTTATACCTCTATAACACAGAAACAATGTGGAGCCTAAAAACCACCTTGGGGAACACCGTATTTTATAATGACTTCATTGCTTCTATTTCTACCAATTTTAATAAATTATGTCCAATTTTACAAATCAATAATAGTTCAAGTTTTTTATTTCTAATATTTATTTGTTTTGGAGATTTTGTTTCGGGAAAGGAACAGTGTCGAATGCCGTCTAAGATTTATAAATATTGTAAGACATTTTGGCATTCTTGTTTTTCATTTTGATTTTAGAAAGGTCAGTATCTATTATAAATTAATTTAACGTTTATGTTTCTATCTCCATCTTTTAAGATATTTAAATAGACCCTATGTCATCCATTCCTGTTTTATCCATAATTTTTTTTAGAGTTATTTTAATCGATGTTGTGTTACCAGTAATAAATTTAATAAATTTGACGAATTTTCCAATCTAAGAAATGAATATGTCTTCTACAATCACCACATTTATTACATCGGTGAACTTTAAGAGTAGTTCATAAAGAAATGTTTATGAACTTATCAATAAGTATGTGGTTTAGAAATTGCTACTATAATAATATCATTCCCTATTTTTATCGTTAAATAGTTTGCCTTTATTAGATATGGTCCTTTAATGATACCATTTACATGGTTTTTCATATATACTACGACTCCGTCGTTTTGCTTGTAGTTATCACTGGAGCTAAATGATGAGTAACCATCGAGCGTGCCAAAGTTTGAAGAGCAAAATACGAGTAGTAGGTAATCTAAATATGTATGTACATATATGGTATATAACATTACGGAGCAGAGTACTTACCGAGACTTGTCAAGTTTGGTGAATGGCACATACATACGGCAACCAAATTTTATTTGCGATCGAAAAATTGTAAAAATCGGCAATTTTAATATTACTAGAATTATTATAATAACTTAAGTTTAGTTGCGTTAGAAATTTATCTAAACATGCAAATTGTAATCTTAATTTTTTACAATTTTAGGATGACAAAATAATACAATTTTGGGATGAAAAATAAAAGATTTAAGATGGTTTTGTTGCTTGCAGAGGTATCGAATTCCGTAAAAACGTCGTTCAAGTGCTGCATCCCTCAGCGGCTGTCAGCAGGACGACAGAAACAATCTCAATATAAACCACAAGTCACTGTCAATATTAAACCACCGGTAACCGTTATATTATAATAGCGTTATATAAATGAAACCTATAAGACTTATAGAGGAGCCCGATGACGCAGTGGTTAGCCCGCTGGGTCTGCGATATGTTGTAAGCGACTTGCAATGCCCAGTCAAAATTTATTATCTCGGACTCCCCCGTACCCCTTAGGTGATGATGAAAACTTATTGTCGACCACAACACAAAACATATTCAAACATCAGCTTCATTTAGGTATTTGTATTTAGTAACTTTCTTCTCAGAATAAGATAACAAAACTTTCATTTTACCAAAATAACAGCTTCCTGAAAAATGTAAAGATGTAAGTTTTGGAAACTGTCGTTAATTATAATTTATTATATTTAGGTGGCAGCGTCACCGCAGCCACGTTTTGCCGCTAAGCCCGGACGGCCGCGGTCGGGAGAGGTTAGCTTTTTGATATTTATTTTATGGCGAATCAATGCGCTCAACCTCAATAAAAGCGAGGAACAGAAATCACGTCACGCCGTAAGCGGATGTCATAGACCAATATAACTGCATATAGAGACTAGCTTTCCTACATATACATAAGCTGTACCCCAGTCAATATATCCCACAGAAAATATACCTCTTAAATTTTACTAGAATGTTCGTTTCTCAAACATATTTTCTAAAGTTTCCTTTTTATAAGTATATATCCTTATTATAAGTTATAAGTATTTATCGAAGGATCCGCATGAGGAGAACAGGCGACCTCTGTGAGCTCATTTCATTAGTCTATAAATCATAACTAATGAACGAACACTGAAAATTGCCTGAACCTGAATGCGAATTCCTCGTCCCACCCCTTTAATCAAGGAGAATTTAGACGCAATGTAAAGGAGTCATAAAAACTTAATTTTAACACTGATGGAGCATTTGAAGAAGATTGTTTCCATTGTTGCCTTAAGTTTTTAAGAACCTAAAGTCGGAAACGGACGATGTACGGTAGTTTAAAATTTTGTGAAATAGACATACCTAAAGCAACGATTATATTCTGTATGATTTAACTGAACAAGTATTCCTTAATGAACAGCAAAATCGGTGCAAAACTGGAAACAAGATGAAAGAGGAGGTAGCACCACCAAAGGCATCACATTCAGTACCGCGGTCATTACGGCCTGAGCGGGAAAAGTTATTACCACCAAAAGTATGTATTGAAACAAGTAAAAATATGAACAGATATTCTATGAAAAATATTTAACAAATCACAAAAGCTGGTGCAGCGGTTAACCGATGCGGTCATCATGACCGTACTTCGGACGGCACAAAGCCGTTGTGGTCAGCAGTTGTTCATTTATCACTCACCAATGCGACTGGGCCCGTTCTCCTTTGTATATCGGAAGGCAAATAGCAGTTGGTATCGGCTGCGTCAGCAGTTGTTAACACTCACCAATGCGACTGGCATCATTAATTATTAAAAATGCGATTCTTTGTTTTCGATGAAATATAATAGACCTTCTCAGGTGTCATTTTATGTAACTAATATGAGTAGTATCTATTATTATAATCTGACCCTGAAGTAAGGATAGAAATGGACACAATATGTCGTGCGAGCGTAGTAAGAAAGCGATAAGTATCGTTATTCATAGAATTCTCTATCGTTTCCGCTTAGATTTCCTATTGTTAAGCGGGATGAGGTCAGCAATCTATAGCGTCCCGTAGAAGGAAAATAGACTAAATACAGAGCGCATCGACACAATTTTTGTTACAAACGCATGTCACCAATGTAAGGTGTCCATTGTGCTAGTCAAAAATCATCTGATCTCTAAGCTTCCCTTAGCAATAAAAACGTCAAAATTTTATTAATTAAGAGGTTTATGGCATATACCTATATGACAAGTGAGTGAATAATGGTTGAAATACTTTACAAACAGAGTCACAGATACATACACATCCCGAGCCAACTAGTGTATCCTGATAAAAATAATAAAATTAGTATTACAAAATGATTTAACTTTTTTCAATTCAAATGCTTAAATGCTTAAATGATTTATCATATTCACAGAGACCATCTGTTATACCCAAGAGAGTCGTACATGATACGGTGAGTACTAAACCTGTCAAAACGACGATACTGATTTTCGATTCACAAACTTTATCTACTTAATAAAGCAGTGCCTTATTTTATACTATTTATTGTAATAACTGGTTGTTTTTGTTATAGAAACAGACTACAAAAACACTTTACACCAACCGCACGGCCCAATTACCCAATCAGGTGGGAACGGAAAAGTAATATGTCTGATAATCTTCGGATTATAAATCAATTGTTTAAAAACTTTAATTCTCTTCATATTCAGGAAATAATCAACAAGCATGAAGACTTAGAATTACAACAAAACGATTTGAAAGAAGGAGCTGCAAGTGATCTTAATGATACAGGTACAAAGTTTGTAGATTTATGGTTAAAATCAACATATTTTATAATATAATCGGTTATTTTAATTTTAGATTCCATTTCATCAAGAAATGAAAAATTAACACATTTAAAAATAATCTGGCAGGAGAAAATTGTAGAATTCGAAAAAATAAAAAATGATTTAAATGATAAACAGGTAAATACCGGTATCATAATAATACATAAATACTATCCATCTTATTGTAAAACGAAAGTAAACGTTTTTTGACTAGATTTTCCCCATTCAGTAATAGCTATTTTTTATTGCTTATAAGTTCGAATGCTATTTCGTATTTTTTTATGGGCTTTTCTTTTACCTTTGTCATTGCAAGGTTAGTCTTTTGCCCTTGTCATTTGAACTTAAAATGCCAGGAACCAGATTCGAACCATTATCCGACCAAAATTAGTAAACACATCTCAACTTGATGTTTTACTCTTCTGTCACTGTCAATTTAAGAATAATAATACGGTATATCTTTTTCTGTTATCTTTATAACTGTATGCAATATTTTCTTGAATATAATAATACATAAAGTAACACAAAAAGTTCTTTAAGTCTATTTGAATCGGCAATATCTTATTGTTAATTAAAGGTATTGACGATTACGAGCATATGAGGATTAACAAATACAATATCTATACCTGAACAAGAAAAATACTTGTTATTATAGTAGTTGTGGTATTTTCATAATTAAATTTATTTGTATCGATATAGAAAGCAATAATGTCGCTATACGCCGCCTTGGGGGTAACTCACCAGAAAATGTTAGCCTTGGGACATAAAACGGCATTGCCATCCAGAGAAGAGCTACAGATAATGAACGTAACAAACATGACACCTGAGCAATTACTACAGCTATGCACTGGCCCACAGTATGATGGTATAATATTTTATATCACTTAAGTAAAACCAGCGCCATCCGCTGACGAGGAATAGGTTAATGTTTCACTCACAATAGCTCTTATAATGAGGAAACGAAATTCAATAACGATTTTAACTACAAACAAAAGCAATACAATTTGCTCCTAGCACCAATTGCTTTTTTTTAAAGGGTGGATTGTGTCCCGATTGCTTCCCAAACCCTTAGGGAGTTAGGATAGATCGTGACTCACAAAGTAAAACTTTGGTTAGAAGCAAACTCAAAGCGACTGCTTTGTTTGTTTGGAATCCACTTCATCCACTTCAATGCTCAAGAAGGTCCAAAAGTATTTAGGATAATTTTATAGGATTCGATGGGTTTATCCGTTCCGGTAACGGATCAAGTTTTTGTAATTCCTTAAATAATGTTCCTAATGATTGTTAATCATTTGATCTCTATGGCAGAGTGGTTAACACGCCGATTTCAAGGTGCCATTTCTGAGATCGGTTTCGATTCCCGGTCGGCCCAATGTAGTCATTGTTTCGGTTCTGAGTGTTGGTACCTTCGTTGCCTCAGATATTCCATATTATGGGGGCTTTAACTACTCATCTTGGAATCTGAGCAATGTATGTATGTGAAGTTGTCACATATTTTAAAAATATTTTTTTTATTGATTGTATCTTGCTATTTATATGTTATCATAATAATTAATGTATTGTCGTTTTTATCACAATTATAATAAAATATAAATAATTAATTGGCTAGCTCGCAAGAGATTCGACGTGAAGACACTGACTGAAATAACTTACTTGCTACACAAATAATATAATGACTATAAAGATCATGATTCTGTTTTAAATTAGATTTATTAATTCAATAGTAGGTAATAAATTGGATTCGATATTAGTAAAATTCACTATGGAATATATTCAATATGGGTCGGATTCGCAACTTAAAATACCTTATAGACTGTAACTCTATGAAAATATGCTTTTATTTAGGCAATCCGTGGCTAATTTGTTGATTTTGTACTAGTCGTTAATCTTTCCCTACCATAGTGAATGGTTTATTATAAACAAATTTCTATTATATAACTAACCTGCGTTTATTATTATTATTATTGTATGGTCACACATTTACGACAACGCCATCAGCTTTCATAATTTTCTTTACAGATTCGGTGACTCTAACACCAATGTCTATTGAAAAATTGTATATAATGCCATCAAAATTACTCGGTACCTGTGAACAAACCTTATTCAAGAACAAAGAAATTATTGACTTATTAGATACGTCATTAGAAACACCGGAAAAAGTAAGTGTAACTTATGCTAAATGCACATTACACGTCATCGACCGCGCCGAAGGAGGCGAAAGATACGAATTTTAGATTTATATTATGAATTATATGAACCTCCCCGTCGAATCGTTGGAATTCTAATAAATTAGTCGTGCCTCTCATGTCTGTAAGGTATGTCGCTTACCAGCTGTAAAGAAAACTCGTAACTTTACATATTTCAGCTCGTATTGATACGCTAGCAGCTAAGGTTATTGAATTCTTAAGTCCCATGTGGGGTACCTGCATTATAATCGTATTGTTTTAATCGTACATGTACGCCCCCGAAGACCGATGAGACAATATTTTTCTTCTGAAAATCTCTAATTAATCAATGGAATCCAACATTATGGTATACTTGTCCAATTGCGTTTCCAAATCTTGTAAATAACGAAGATAGAGAAGTTAATAATATTTTAATATACAGGAGTTGAACTTACATTTCTTTGATAGCACATAACGAAGGAATAATTTTCAAAATATTAAAGATAGTTTTTCTTTCTTATAAGGGAGGTGCCAGTTTACAGTCAACAGCACGTTAGGTTTGTATAACCTAACGTGCTGTTGTCGTTAAATATCTCCAACTGATTCGGAGCCTTAACTCATTGGGGATAGAGTTGAAATCAATTGCAATGAAAGTGGTACCATCACCTATATTTTATTTATATTTTAGATCAAATCACTTGCGAAGAAGATAAAAGAATACGCTGCTGAAAATGAAATGTTGTCTTGTTCTTTTGAAAAAGTAAAGAATGAATTCATAATAGAATTAAACGAAATTGTAAGCTTTATACGGTAAGTTTTCTTATGGTAAGCTAGATCTACACTAGTGGGCTTTCAATGCAGTTTAATATGCGTTTCTATTTTTCGATAGTTCAAAAATATTTTTTTTTTTCTTAGAAAATCTGTGAAAGACACAATGACTTTAAATTTACGCAACGAGCAATTGATTTGTGAAGTGTCCGACCTGAATTCACAGAAAAGTGATCTTCGTAAACAGCTCCATGAAGCAGATTATCGCAGACCAAGTGGTATTAAAAATAAAGTCGAGGTTAGTTAACGAACATTAATTATTTCCTATTATTTAGGTCATCGTACGTAGGGGGATGGATGTCCCGTTGATTCGGCTACAACTTCTCGTGTTCCATATGTGAGGGAACACTTGGGAAAATTTAGTGGGTAGGCCTCTGTTACCATTGCGCGAATATCCGCTGGATAGACCCCCAGAGAGGAGTCTCACGTAAGGGCATTTATCCACGATGCAGGTGACCTTACTATTCATCACTTACCAGTCCGTTTCCAAGCAAGATATTTTTTGTCCCATCGGCCATTAATTTTAAATGAATATTATAGAAACTATGGAAGTATAAAATTAAAACCTATATTTTAAGAAAGTCATTCTAAATTATAGGAAAACAATTTTAGTATAATTAAAATATTTTTATGCACCGCATTTGCACTAGTTTTGATTCGATGACAACCTTTCAGGACTTAGAAAAGCAGTTGAAAGAAGAAAAGTGCAAAAACAATCTCTTAAGAGTACAATTGAATCGAGCATCGTGCCAGGGCAAAGTCAATGCCGAACAAATATCGCACATCGAAGCAGCCCTGGAGCAGTCTCAATCTAACTGCTGGGCATTGGAGAGAACTGTACAAGATCTTCAAGAAAAGGTAGATTTTTAATACCACCGTGAAAATGAATGTAAACACTATAAGCCAATGTTTTATAAAGACCTAGATTGATTCTAATGTTTGCTTAAACTATTTTAGAATCGAAAATTGCAAGCAGATTTCGGTTTAGAATTCAACAAATTTACGGAATCGATTCGCGAAAATACAGCTCATTTGGAAGAAATTGCTGAAGCTCGTGAAAAGTTACAAGCTGAGTAAGTTCTTTATACTCACTTACGTATAACGAAAAGGATATTATATTTTTTAACGTCAAATGAACCACATTATTTTGTTCATTCACTGAATAAAATCAATAACCTTTCTTTCCCTTCATATAGATTTTATCCATATGAAGGGAAAGAAAGGTTATTGATTATTATAAAGGTTAAAGGTTATTGATTAGTTAGGTAATCAAATATTTAAAAATGAAATCAAGAACGTAGTATAACGATGCTTTATTTAACCTTTACTTATTTTAACAACAATTTAATAAAGCTCTTATTTCTTACAACCCAATCTTTTTTATAGAAAATGAAAAAGATTTATAAAATCTACTTGAAACAGTGTATAAAATTGTTTTTAATATTTATTTACACGTTTTATAAACCAATCTAGAAAAGAAGACTTAGAAAAACGTCTCGCGGAACTCTCCACGCATTATAATGAATCTATTAAAAACATGAAAAAGGAAATTAATGTAAAAGTTGAAAAAATTATAGAAACAGAGATGAAATACGAAGATGAAAAAGAAGAACGGCTTAAATTAATTGATAAAGTAGAATCTCTTTGTGCGCAACTACTTGAATCAGAATTAAGATATAAAGATATGGTTAAGCAAGTTCAAGAACTAGAGCTGCAATTGAGTAAGTTCCTAGAACCCCCATTCATTAATAGAACCCTTAAACGTCCCAGTGAATTAAGCGTCCAAGGAGAAAATTGATGGGTAGAATAGAACTATTTGTATCTAATTTTGTCAGACTATCTAAGGCAGACGAAAAAATGGACAATATCATAAATTTTTATGTATAGATATTTCTTTAGTACGAGTGATATTAAATCTCTAAAACAAGGATCGGTAAAACCGTCTATTGAGATGTGGATTCCTTCAACTTCATCAAGAATTTGCATTATCAGCGAAAGTTGTTCTACCATAAAGTTGAGGGTCGGTCAGGTCGGTCAGTATTGGCGGTCAATCTCTTCGGCAGGGTCAGAGCGATTTAGATTCAATCATATTTATTGTATATTGATGACAATATTATGTTCTTTCTAACTAAGAATATTATATATATTGCATAATTAATTATAATAACCTATACTCCATTCATTATAGCATTAGACAGAAGTTAAATAAGGTTCTTTTTATGGTAAACTTTGTGACAAAATATCAATAATCATGTTACTATTAAGACTGACGGCTAATTTGCTACATATTCACTTAAATACCAGCAGCTATACTTAACTGTTGTCATTTAAGCTATCTATTAAACAAATTTATGAGTATTTGACTAACTTAAATAATTTAATAACTATTACAATAAAAAGTGTTCATCTTAAAGAACCTAAAGAAGCAGGGTTGGATAGTCTCGGCACGATTCTCATATCACTATAACTCTACCAAATTTAAAACGTTGGCTAATCCCTTCAAACGTTTCGGCAGTACAGGTTTTTAATTTTGTCAGACTATGATGTATTCATAATTCTCAAAATACGTAATCTGGGATTGTCATCCGTTGTGAATGCTATTGCCTTTCTTGTTGTTTTGCCGTTTTCCATGATTTAGTTGTTATTGTTTTATTTTGTTTCGTTGTTAAGTTTTGTTAAATATGTACTGATGCAGGCCCGAGTGGCCTACAACAATTACGCTCTAAGCCCCCATACCTACCCTCAACCTTTGACATTTCAGGAAGTTTTTCCAATGTCTTCATCAATAGTCTAATGTTTGCATAAATGTTATAAAAGTGATAATAAAAATTTCATTTTATTTACCTTTCTTTCCTGGGCATAGATATAACCAAAATCTATTCTAATTATATACACTTACAATTAGAATTTATCAAAACAACAGATAGATAGTTTTAGTTCCATATTGGCTTGGGAGTAAAAGATGAATTAAGAAAACTATAATATAATATATCTTTTAAATTTAGCTTGAAAATAAAATGTTCTGCACTGCTGCTTCTATGACCCTCTTTTTTTCTAATGTTATAATGAATGGAGTATAGTAAAAATATGTTGTTTTTAATATATTCAATTCCGGTGTCGTAAACGGCTTTCAGTGGAATTGTTTTTATTAACGGTGACTCTGACATAATTTCGGTGGCTTTTAATAATTCCAAACCTGTCTCGGGACTAGTAATTTTTCTATCACGACTATTATCGTTGAATATTGAAGTTGCACTGAAATTTGGATATAAAAAGTCGTCACTATTACATAAAATAAAATATTCTAATATTTTGCTACATACTATCCCGTTGATTAATATAAATTATTCATTATCACAAGGTAATGCTGCTGAATGTCGACAAGAATTAAATATCACAAAGCACCAGTTAGATATAGCTAACACAGAGATAGAAAAATATCGTGATAGATTTATAGAGCAAAGTGAAGCAATAAAAGAAATAGAGGTAATTTAAACGATATTTCATTACAATTATTTAGTTATCTCTGTTATTTAAATTTATTTACCTAATTCCTTTATTTTAGAACAATTTCAAAGAATCAGCGAGTTTAGAAGAAAATCTGAAAAGCGACTTGAAAATCAAAGAAGAATACATTGGGGAACTAGAAAAGAAAGTGGATTTATTAGAACAACAACGACAAGAAAGGTAGAAATACAAAAAATATATGTACATACATACACTTCGTAATTTCAGTTTTTATTTTTATAAACATACATACACTTCGTAATTTCAGTTTTTATTTTTATAAAATTATAAGAGTATCGTTGCCAATCCTCAGATGTTTCGAATTTCTATTTACGATTCTTTATATTTACTCAACAGTGAAAACAAAATGACTGCATATGAAGAACAATTATCGTCATTGAAGAATAATTTAGCTCAATTACAGGAAGATTTTGGAGAATTCGAAAATCTTAACGAACTTCATGAAATGGTATAATAATATATGATTGAGCTCCATGTACCTAATTTTAAGGTCAGTATAAACAATGAAATAAAGTATCTTAAAAATCAAAATTTACTTTTATTCTAGGTAAAACAGCAACGTGCGAATTTAATCGAAGCTACGAGACAAAATGGCGAATTAGCAGAAGCATTACAAAAAAAAGATATAGAATTAGAGCAATGTGTAGAAACTATTTCAGAACAAGAACATATTGTAGAACAACGAGATGAAATTATAAAAATGTTATCACAAAAAGAAGAAGAACACACTAATATTATAAAATTACTAAGAAACAATTTAGAGATGAGAACGCAAGCAGAAGTTGATGTGAGTATTTACAAGCTTTGACAATACATTCGTTAGAAATGAAACGTTATTGATGATACACGAAAGAAGAACGTAAATTATGTTCTTTATGTTTAGCAAGCAAAGAAAATACAATATTATCAAAATTTATGTAAATGCAAAATGTTTATAACAAACTGATTTTAAATACTTAAAAGAATTTTCAACTTTTGGCATTCACTACTGAAGGCGTGCATTTATTTACTCATTAAGTTATTATTATTTCCAGCTCAATCAAGATCTTTCTGAGAAAAATGCTGAAATAGATAATCTTATTAACAATCTCGATACAAGGAAACAACAAATTTGTGAATTAGAAAAGGTCATACTAACCTTAGAAAACCAAACACGTAAACTTAGTGCACAGAGAAGAAAAGATCAAGAAAATATACAGTCCTTAGAAACAAAACTTGTCGAATATGAGACAATTTATATGGAGAAAAAACGGAATATGGAGACAACCTCTGAAAACCTAGATAGCATTATAAAAAAACTTGAACTCGAAATTAACGACACGATAGAGACAAACTCAAAAAATATGGAGTCATTCTTTTTAGATCAGACCCATGTTGCGGGGGATCGAATTCTAACTAAAAGATTACACAAACACCAATTAGAACAATTTAATAGAAACAATGATATTTTCCTAACGGACGGAATGATACAGAATAAGCCAATCGCAGATAAATGTCCTAAGCGAGATTATAAAGAAATCAAACATGACTTGGACCGTCAAAAAGGTATTACAAATATACAAAATAAAAAGTGGATGTGTTCTCCTGAACCCAATCTCAATATTTATGATTCTGGAACACTTGAGACAGAAGAATCATTCAATAGAAAAGATTACCTAACAAAAAATTTGCATCTATCATCTCTACAGCAATCTCGTGATGACAAAAAAATTAAAACGTTTAAATTTGCAGCCCATAGAATATAACTTCAATTTGTAACGTTAATCGTATTGTGCTATGTAATAATAAAAATCTTACTTTTATTTTGTTATAAAACAGCTAAAAGAGGTTTAAATATTTGAACTAAAGCCAGTGCTTTCTAGCTGTCAGATTTTAGTAGTCCTATTATGAAGCCTTTACTTAGAAATTGTTATTACTCTAAAAATTTATTGTTTGCGGTTTGTTGTTTTCGTATATTTATCGCGAATATAAAAACTATGGATATGTAATAGTAATTTGTAATAAGAAAATAAAAGGTGACACTTCTATTGTACTAAAATAAATATCAAAGGGACTTAACAATTTATATTTTTCATTCACATTTATATTCATAACAAATTTTACATTTATATTATCAACCAGTGTAATTTGTCATTATTACTTGTATATAAACAAGGAACCATTAGATTATTGACAGATTCCTATGGTTGGGTTGGTGGTAAAAGATTTTACCGAATAGACAATCTATTGCTCCTGAAGTATTTCTCTCAGTGGCAATACAATATCAGTATTTGTAACAAAACTAGTCAGATAAAAAAGCGTTAACTAATGTCACACAGTTTCAGAATTCGTACCGCTGAAATACCGCTCGCCTTCACTAGAATCCGTGCCATGGCCCATGAGGCAGCTTCTTGTCGTCTTTCGATGAGAACGCACCTCATCTTCCTCTTTGGCAGAAGCCGTCGTACGGGTACCACGGTTTCTGACCTTGGTGGGACAACAACACATTTTAAGCAATAAACGTCGCCTAATTATGCACCTTCCATAAACAGTTCTTCCGGACCGAATTTCAATACTCCTTGCTTGACATCGATCTCAAAGTGATATTTTCGCATGAAGTCCAGACCCAAAATGCAGTTGTCCACGATTTTGGCGATGCGAACCTGTGCGGAAACACTCTACTTCGCAATGCCAACTTCACCATCTCCTCACCCAGGACGGATATGTGCTGTAAAGTGGTCCGTGTCTTACCACCAAGAAAAGCCTGGCTCCAAGTTTCTCCAACCACGAAGAAACTTGACATTGCGTACTTATATGTCATATTTTGTGCAATGTATTAATTTACTATTTAAGAGATTTTGAGAAGGTCGTTTTTTATGGCAAGTACTCCCAATTGCGCCAAATTGTTACTATGAACAATCCAAATAATGCTCAAGTTTATAAACCGTTCGATCGAAGTCCTGTCGAAATGTGTTATTCAGGTGATGCTCGGACGCTGTAGTGCGTCATTTCATCTTCTGTACCTGTACCCTGCACCAAAGATAATGTAGACTACGTCTACATATAAATAAACAAAATAAATAGTAGTTTAAAAAGGAAGTATTTAAAAAATATATATGTTTCAGAAATCAAACTATATAGATGTGATTACGATACTTTCTTGATTTCTCCATGACACCACTTTCGGTTTCCTTTCATTTATATAGTAAATTAATTTTCAAAACTCAATAAACAACTCATATTCTATTTGTACCTTTTCGTATTTGTATTTATATCTAAGTTTCGAATTTTGGAAATTTCATTTTTTAATATGTAAGTTAAAAGGAACGGAAATGACTACGGAATGACAGAAATTTCGCTATCTAGTAAGGTACTTTTTTAGTGCTTTCTTTTTTTTCTTTGAATACTTCTTCATAGAACTTCAACTCGATATGATCAATACTCAATGATTCATCAATCGAAAACCAATACAGTTGCGAGTATAAATAATTTGTATGCTACCGTGCTGTTTCAATATATTTTTTAAATTAAATTGCAATATTTATTACATGATAATTGTTACTGAGTAATATTAACTTTAACTTAAGCATCTCAAAGACGTCCCCTTTTAACCGACTTCAAAATATTTATTTCAATATTTAGCAGTTTAATAACTAATTAGGTAGCTTTAAGATAAGTATTTTTTTTTCATTTTTTTAAAGTTCGGTCTTTATTCAACCGCGCCTAATGACATTTCTTTCCGATCGAAAGAAATGTCATTAGGCATTTGTTTAGCAGAATAGCTCTTACCGTCCGACTTTTCGCAATTTTTGACACGATTGATTAGGTGTATACGCTTCGACGATACTCAGATATCTTTGAGTTGTCATTAACCTATATGACGTCATTGCTAAACGGCAACACGTATGAACCATACATTCCAAATAACGTCATGAAATAAAACAAAACTGACAGTTGTAAATTACACGATGCATATTTTTATTTCAAGACTTTTACGTTTTAAGACTAAACACAGTATTCGAACAGTGCGACTGTAGTCATCTGTGTAGAACTGTGGCCCTCATCTCCTTCTACTTATACCGAAAAATGTCCTACATCTGGAAATACAAAATAATAAGGTTAAACAATCGCTGAAACAAAAGTCTATAAAGAAATCAATATAATCATATTAATTTATTGGCATAAGTTCACACATTTAATTAAAATTTATTTTTATATTTAATAGAGATAAAAACTTCCGTTTTAACTATTATTCTTACTGTGGAGAAGACACAGGCCACCATCATCCCCACCACAGGGAATTAAAGTTTATTTTCAAAGTGAAATATATAACCTGGGCGTTCAAATTTTACATTTTTGTGTCCTCAAATCACTTACTGGCAAATCACCTGGGCGATCAAAGTCCACGAGATATTAATAATTGTTTTTTATATCCTATACTTAAACAGAACAAACCTATCTAAAATTGACGAAGTTTTAGTTATAATAATAACAAAAATATATGAATAAAAAAGCTACCTATTTATTTATTCAAGTGCAAAAAAGTAAGTTCCTAAACTAAAACCTACTGAAAAATAAGAATATCTGAAACAGAACAGACAGACGTGAAAGCTTATGTATAATACATTGTTTTGTGTGGCATTCGCCTACGGGTATTTCATAAAATCTGCTAACAACATCACCATATAAGACGATCTAAACTTATATATTTACTTGTTGAACCCCTACGCCAGCCTCACATATTCTTAATTAGGGCAACATAAAGGTTAATGCTTTTGTTATTATTGTGTGGTTTTGGAAAAGACTTCTGAATATAAATTAGTTATAAAGTACCAAACTTGTATTCCTGCCGAGAGATGTGTACTCAGAGGAGCAGGAATGATGAACGCGCGACACTTCTCTCTCAAGGAAAGCGCGACGGCGCTCGAGCTGAGTGCGGACACGACCTTCGCGCTCCAGCTGTAAGCTTTGAGCCAAAACTGCACTCTCGAGACGTAAAACTTGTGCGCGTTCCACTCGTAACGCTGTCCATGTGTCCGCTGCGTTAGCACACACCGAAGTTAATGATCTTGAGATCTGTACGAATACATTTAAATGACCACACTTTCTATATCAATTTCTAGTGAAACCTGTGGCACATAATTAGGTTAGGAGTCAAGAGAAAAGAGAAAACGAGACGAAATCTATGCGAGCGTCAATGAGATATTAATAAGGAAGAATATTTCGCATCAAAAAAATATTTTAAATAAATACTCTCAAACCATTGCTATTATTGTAAAAGTTCCCATATTCATCAATTTTCCCTATAAAGTAGAGTATAAATTATAAGAAGAAACGGATACAATGGTAAATTTTGAGGAATTGATATGTTATATATCTAACATTTCGATTATTTATTAATATATGATGTAGTTTTCTCATTTTTAATTACAACTTATGAACATATAATTGCACAAAACTAATTTAAATTCAGTGTTTTTTATTTTTTTTACTATGTAGTATGAATTATATACTTTATCCTTTTGTGTAAATTGGTCGCAGCATTAGCGAAACAAATTCAAGTCACACAATCTTCGAATTGAATGTTCGAGTACGAGACAAGTCCTTAAGTTCTACTAGGAGCAATACATTCCTATGCAATGATAGTTGATTTGAGATTTTTTAATTACTCGCGAAAGCCGGTGAAATTGAAAAGCATTTATTCTCTCTAAAAATCAAATATAGTCTTCGTATTCTAACCTCTGCATTAATTGATTCTTCTATAGGTGGCGGTTCTGTACGCCCATCGAGTAGGGCAGAAAGATCTCTGCGAGCTCGTGTCATTTTTGCGAATAGTTCGGCAGCCCGCTCGTGTCTCTCGAGCATGAGGGCTCGTGAAGCTGCCGCCGTTACGAGGGCGTTACGTTCACGTGATAATTTTTTGACTTGCATGTGCATTTCCATTAACTGTCAAATATAATCATTAAACAATGTATCCATTACAATTCTTAAAAACATTATACGGATAAAATTTAAAGTATTTGGTATACAAATACTGCGAAAGTACATTGACTAAAATATATCGTATAGTTTCGATTATAAAAATATCGTATTTATTTACTTAGAATTGATTATATTCAATGAAAAAATAATCTGAATTACCTCTGTCTGAAGTTCTTGATATGGAATTTCTTTCGCATAACAATCATAATTACGCAGCCGTTTTACTTCTAGACGCAATGCCGCTAACTGATTTTCATATTGCGTCATAGTTTGTTCCCTGAAAAGTATTTAAGTTGTGAGAAAATAATGCCTGATTCGGAAACATTTTCTTTATTACATACATTATTTTTTCATTTTCACGTTGTTCTTCAATAGAATGCTGTAATTTTGCTATTTTCTGTTCTCTGTCTAAGAGTTCCGTAGCCATTTTATCTTGCAAGTTTTCGGTGCCTTCTCCTTGCTGAAAATAACGCATAGCGTTTTATATATAAATTTTTTGATTAGATGAAACAATTAGGGTATAGAGCTTACAGCAATCCTAGAAAGTGAATTTAAAAAACTGTCTTTATCTGCGCGACTTTGACGTAGTTCTTCTTCTGCTCGAGATAAAGCCACTCTAGTTGCTTGTAACTCTTTCCAGAGTTCATTTTCTCTGTCAGTTGGTTCATTTTCTGAAGAAAGAAAAAAAAAGAATGCTCTGTATGCATTAAATTCGCACGACTCGCTTTTTACGTGGCGTTCATTTCTCTACCTTTTGTTGGGACATATTCTAGACATCGTCTACGTTCCACGTCAACAAGCTTTACAGAACGCTCTCTCAGTGCTTGTAATTGTTCTTCTAATTCATTGACACGTATTCCTAACTCCGCGGCGCGGCTTTCTGCTATCACTCTGCTTTTTTCCTGCGATGAGAGCATCTTCCAATATATTATTACTTTAATGCACACTAAATGATATACGTAAGATAGATGTCAAGAAAAGTAAAGTACCTGCTCTATGACTTTCCCTTGAAGCATATCCGCGCGGGCCTTTTGTTCCGCTTCACGAATTTCAGCCGCTTTTTCTGCTATCTCCGCTTGCTCTCGAAGTTCCTTAACTCTAATGTTCAATGATAGTATGATAATAAGTTTTAACAAATTAATTGTAAAAAATAAGGTATGTAGATAACATTTACCTCAACTCAAGCGCATCACGTTGACGAGATAACGTGTCAATGGTCAATTCACCGGTTTTGGAAACTTCGAGCAGTTTTTTCGATCGCGCATCATAGCTGGTTTCCCGATGACGGTACTGTAAAAGATACGTAACAAATTAATTACAAACGAAAACCCAATACCGAGTGAAAAAATAAATAATTCTTCTTTTGTAGGAAAGGCCTGTTCATCTAAATGAACAGGCCTTTCCTAATCTATCATTAATAACAATGCTATATATGTAAAACATTTTCGAGACACAATTATTGAGACCCTAAATAGTGTCACAACTACAACTTCACTGAGTTATGCGAATGTTCGAGTGCGAGACTGTTTACGAGTTGCTCGAGGTCTTTGTGCTTGCGACGGGCGGCTTCGGATTCAGCGCGCGTCTCCTTTAGCTGCCGTTCTAGAGTAGCGATGCGTGCTCGTGCAACTCTCAGCGTACTCTCTGCAGCAGACACTACTTCTTTTAGAGTCTCGCGACCCGCACGCTCCTTTGCCAATTCCTCTGATATCGCCTGCAGCAGATACATACCATCATTGTGATACTAGGTGCTAGATAAAACGTTTTTTATATAAGTAGATTGATATACTTAAAAATATTTGCGTTAAATCTTATCACATCCAGGTGTTATTAATACGTATAAAATAGTAAATAAAATAAATATTTGGGATAAAATTATCTACGATTGTTTTATTAAGTTTATAAAATAAAACAAAATCAACAAGAAAACACTTTTTCATCAAGTAGGTAATATTGTAGGCAGAACAATAATATCGACTAGAACCTTATATGCAGCCGTAAGCTCATGCGGCGAATCTTGGTCTTTTTTTTCATCGATATCTTTCTTTGTCATTTCTTCTAATTTGCTTTGCAATAATGCTATTTCCTTTTGCATGCGCTCAATTTTTTTCACCATTGCCTCGCGGTCGATCCATGGTACTCTAACATAACATATTCATATAGATGCTTAAATAAATATTATAACGTGGAAAAGTTTTTAACTTTGTTTCATTATTTGTATCTTCAGAAAAAATTATCCTATCATGGAAATTCTTTAATACATGAGAAGTTACATCATATACTATAATTAACGCGGACAAACAGCTAGTAAAAAATATACGAATGATAATTTATTCGAAAGTCGAAAAGCTATGTTGCATTAGTAAAGTTATGAAGATTTTGTACCTTGCTAATTCCAATGAATAATTAACTTTTGCTTTTAAATTTTCCACAGTGCCTGCAACCATCCTGTGCAGTCTTTCTGTCTCTTGATCAAACTCCGAATTTTTAGTTTTCCATTCTAGATTCTGTAATCAAATAAAACATTTTTTATATGAAACATCCCTAATATTGAGAGGATTCGATTAACTTCTAGAGAATAAGATTTTAATTACCTACTAGATCCTCCAAGTTTAAATAAAATCTTACTTAGCTTACAAAAACAAAGCCTGTACTGTATAGCAATAAAATACCTAGATTTTTTTCAAGCAACACATACCTACAGCCATACCATTAATAACATTGAATTTCGAACATTAGCTTCAACTATAAAAAACCCAAGATTTGGCTGTATGGCTTAGTTCCTTCGCTTGTCCCATGGACGAAATTACTACTACTACTACTTCAACTATAAAAATAAACAACGATAATATATATATATATATATATATATATATATAGTATATTTAAGATTATAAATACCATACATTCCTGATCCCATCCTTCCTTATCCGATTTCTTTCCTATTCGTTTCCCAAATTTTTTACTTGACATTGGCAAAATGCACAAGCCGTGCCTGCCATATTATGAGGAAAAAAAAAAAAAAAACTATAAAAAAATAGACTTCTTTCCCGCCATTATTGTATGTATTTTGTTTAGATATTATTTGTTTTGAAAATGGAGTGGGGCACTTGAGAGAATAGGATTGCAGTAATTGCACTGTACAAAGTAAGTAAGGAGCCAGCCGATATTTTCAATACTTTAAAAAGCTAGGGATTAGCCGAATGTTTGTGTATCGTACCATCCAAAGGTACACTGAAACCATGTCTGTTGATGACTGTGAGAGATCCGGCCAACCGCGGTCTATTTAAACCAGGCCGTTAATGTAATCATGACCAGAATTCGTCAAAAACCCATAAGGAAGCAGAAAATCCTTTCCATAAAAATGAAAATCTTACGTCTAGGGGCTTACCGGAGATACACAGGAAATACCTTAAATTAGGCACTAAAACAAAAGAGAGTCGACAGATCAAACAGCTGTTACTTCGATACGCGGTCGAAAACACAGAAAATTCTCTTTACCCATGAAAACATTTTTTCAATCGAGGAACTATACAACACACAAAATTATCGAGTGTATGCTCACAGCTCTCTTTAGAGCTTCCGAGTTAATGACTAAATTTCAGCGAGGCTATCATGGTTTGGTGGAGGGTTACAAAACTCAATTTTTGCGAAAAAGGAATGAAAACTTCAGCCAAAGTGTATCAAGATATCATGTGTGTGTAGTTAAACCTCTAAACAACACCTTATTCAAAAACGAAGTGTGGACATTCCAACAGGATTCAGCCCCGGGTCATAAAGCGCATATTACCCAAATTTGGCTTGAGCAAAATGTTCCAGACCACATAAAGGCCGATGCTGATGATTGACCTTCGGCTAGTCCGGACTTAAACCCTTTGGACTATAAATTGTATCGACGATGAACATAAAAGTCAATAAAACTTACACTAAGCGTTCTGATTTTCAACTACTTATTTTAAATAGAACCGTTAGTTTTTACTCAATTATTTAAACATTGGGACAGAGAAAGAGATACATTATACTTTATTTGTATTAGAATTGTTCAAAACGACTAAAATTCATTAACACGCTGAAGACTAAATGTTATCAAAATTAGCATGTTAACAAAAATTTGCGCGCTAAGTACATAATAAAAAGGGTGCGCGACAAACGCATTAAATCAAGCATTACACTAAATCTCGTAAAAAGCCTGTTATTTATTATATGTTTATCTTTGTACTGAGCGCGTGTTCTAGTAGATAATATTTTATTCCAATATATACTTATATGAAATAAAAGCAAATGAACTATGTACAATTTTTACCTACACGTAATACAATTTTACGTCTCTTCCCTGAAATTTATCCTTTTATTTATTAACATTATCATTTTAATAATAAACACGTACATATTTTATTATTCAATGTGTCAAAAAATATACATAAATTTATATTTAATTCAAGAATTAAAGATATTAACTGAGTAAACTATGTTAATAATACACAATCATATTTAACATGTTACGAGAATAAATCGTTAACGCGTTCATTAACATTCGCACCTTCACATTGATCGAAGATCGGCTTTTACTGCAAGAATAAATCATTCACGTGTCCATTAACGTTCGCGCCCACGAATATTACCCACTCGGCCTCGGGCGCTAATGATCATTACTCGTTAACACGTTCAATTTTTAACCCCTTAACGTGTAAATACTTAACAGCGTTAAGCGCTAAGTACGATTAGCGTGTTAAATTAACAAACTAAGCGCTAATTGAACCACCTCTAATTTGAAATTAATCTATGTATGTACCTTGTAGTTTGCCGTATTTATATTAGTTGTGTAGTTGGTGCGATCAGGCCGATGCTTGCCGCGCAACAAATTTAAAAGATCTATTCGTCGTGCCATCACCTCGGCGGCCATGTTTAACACATCGTCCGGGATTGGATTGAGTTGGGCGTATAGCTGTTGAAGCACTTGAGGACCTACAATCCAATAGGCTTAGTAATATTTTCAATAGGATATACATCATTAATACTGCATTTACCTACCTTCTAATATTTTATAGGGTTAATAAAATATTAGAAGGTAGGTAAGTGAATATTTGACCCAAAAGTCAATACAAAGCGAATAATAAAAAATCAAGTTTTTTAGTAATGAGGAAGTATTATAAGAAAAAAAAAGAAAGCACTAAAAAGCACCTGACTAGATTGCGATTCTACCAAATGTTGAACGAATAGACCAAACATAGTCATTTCCGTTCCTTTTAACTAACATATTAAAAAAACTGAAATTTGCAAAGTTCGAAACTTAGATATTGATACAAATACGAAAAAGTACAAAAGAATATGAGTTGTACATTGAGTTTTGAAAATTAATTTACTTTTTATACATGAAAGAAAACCGGAAGTGTTGTCATGGAGAAATCAAGAAAGCACCGTAGCGACATCTAGTTTGATTTCTGGAACTTATGTTTTTTTTTAATACTTTCTTATTTATTTCAAAACTGAACATCAATAGTGTGTAGATACACTATATTAAGACATACTTGTGATACAAAAACATGTATGTACGATAAATACTAAATTAACCTTAATTATGTTGTTCACGCCTTATTAGAGTTTTAAGTTGTATATATATTTAATAAAGTTTCCTATCTTGAATGTAAGTACTATTAGGTAATTAAATGAATAGCGATATAGTATCAAATACTCTTCAAATATAAGTAAAGATAGACCTAATCACTACATATATAGAAAATATTGTTTATTAATACTATATTCTTATATCCGATTGTTCATTTATAACAAGTGCGTACAACCAACTGACACAAGTTAATTCACCTTCTGAATTTTATTCTCTATAAAGAGATCTATAGACATGGTATACTACTAAAATAAATATATCGATATATTTTTCTAGTTGCGAAATAGTATAGAAACTAACTGATTCAAACTTTCTCGTAATAAATTACGACCTAAGATTCCTTGAGACAATTACGTGGTATACAAAGCAATCTAAACCAACAAACATCAATAATATCGCAATTTCATCGGTTAAATATCAAGCACCTATTGATTTTGTAATAATTTATCAGCATTAAACAAAATAATGTTCTTGAGAAATAGAACAACAAAATAATAGGCAACAAAAATAAAACGTCAATCGTGTAATTCTTTTATCAAGGAATTAATGAAATTCACTGACTATCGATAAGCAAAACAAAATTTTGATAGGTACCAAAGAGTCCGCTTATCTCGCAGTGCATTGACATCTCGAGGTCATCACGCACTAGAAGTAGAAGATCATGAGCTGCCCAGCCGGTCACAGACAGCACTCTAACATCACCCAGGGCCTCATCGTTGGTCACGCCTGCCTGGGTCTCCAAATCTCGTAGAGACGCATAATGTTCCAGTAATGAATTCTACCATGGTATATTGGTTAATAAAATAAAACAGACATTAAAGTAAACGTAAGCACTAGAAGAGTTGATTTAGCTGGTTTTAATGAGGTCCATTCAAAAATTCTAACAAATATTGTTCTAATGTCACGCTTCGTTTTTATGGATGACTCCATATCACTCACCTGTTGTTGAATTAAACTCTTACGCATTCTGATGAATTCTCTCCTTTTTGTAGCCAGACTTCGCACCATCTTGGCTACAACACATTGCGGAAGTTGCGGCAGTTTCGGCTCCTTTTCTATTATAATAAGTTGAATGAGAATATAGATATCTTAAGAGTTTTCTGTAATCTATAGGTAAATAAATTTATCAGTATTTTTAATTATGTTAGGCCAAGTATTTATTAGGAATGTTCAATTGTCGTCATGATTTCGAAATACATTTGCTGCTCATCTTACTCACTTAAAAAACTATAGCTATAGCTAAAAATGTAGATACAGTCATCGTGTTCATTCATGTCACACGTCAAAGATGTGTTAAACACAATGCTGGTATAAAGATGATAAACTGAAAACTACCTCTGTAGTTCAATTACAAATGTCGTCTCTATGACAACTATAATATAATAAATTACTCGTACATGGCTAGATCGCTCGTATTATGCGGGCGTTTAATAATAAATAAAAAAATCGAACTGAAATATATTTATTAATATTATTTCACAAAATTGCTACAAAATATAAGTATATAAGGAGAATTAATAAACCGTAATTACTTTAATGATAATTAGCGTAATTATATAATGATGTAATAAGAAACGAAAATATAAATAGAATAAATACCAGAGCTTTTTTCTGCAGAACCTGCTTGTGATTGGTTTATATTTCCTGTCATCGGCGCAGATGTCGACTTGGGGGCGCAACTCGAGCAGTCTAGAGACCTTCTCGATGTTTGCTAAAACGTTACATTCATCGAATAAGTAATTATTAAATCAAATGAAGCAATAAAAACTGACTTCAAATATAATTGATTACGATTCGGGCGGTTAATAACATATTTCAAGAAGTTAACCCTCCGCGGTTAATAACATATTACAAGAAGTTAACCCTCCACCGAATGAGAAAATAAGATTTTTACTCGTTATTATTTTACGATTTCTCAAATTGGGCTTTACACTTCATGAAACTTCATGAAATTTTTTGGGTATCCTTATTCGGTACCTTGATACAAAGCGTATCAACGGTACCTAAAAAGGGTACGCACTCAAATATTAACAAAAGTCAGTCCACTCTTGACAAAGATATCGCGATACACACAAGGCTAAAAACAATTAAGTCGGATCGATAACATCTCTTTTAAAGTCTGTTAATAGAGCCATAACGTTTGATTTTGAAGTCATCTAATTGGATACATTAATGTTGCAAATTATAATAGATAATAATTTCATCAGTTTGTTCTAATTGTCTATATGGTTCTAACCGAGGAACTAATTAATTTAACAAACTCAAAGGTAAAAACGGAAGAACGGAAGAATTACAGTTCTTTTAGTTTTTTACCTCTATTAAGGGGGAGCACCTTAATAGAGGAAGAAAAAAATAGGAACCCAGAAGATTTATAACGTTAGAAAATGTTGTCAAACTCTTTTTAACATATTGTAACACAATTACGGTACACGTTATAGAACGAGTATTAATCATTGTAGGAGCGTTCGTAAGAACTAACATTCTCTAATATTATGTTCTGTAATAATATGGAGAGCTTTAGTGATGCGCGCCTTAAAAAATCATGCCTGACCACGACTGACAACCGCATATGCGTAACAAAATGTTACACTCTGTTATAGAATCTTATCGTGCTACAAAATGTTTTATAGCTATATTATGCAACTGATGTGTAGGAATAATGTAAGTATAATAATCCAGTTATTCTTTTTGATATAATACCTTTATAAACGCTACTTACATGGGAAGGAGAAAGACTTTGACATCTTCTTTCTAGACCTGCTCTCTTGAGATTGACAGGAGTCTAAATAAGAAAAAAAACTTGAATAATAACTCTAAAATATAAATATTCAGCTGCCATTTTTAAAAACAAAACACTTAATTCGAGACTACGATTACAGGTTAAACACGACCATTGCATACCATCTTCAAAATGCAACAAAACAAATAATGATTTAGATTTCGGCTTCGGGTGAGTTCGTTTTCGCAGAAACCACAAGCTTATTTTCAATTTTTTTTTTCCATTTAGTTATTGACTTCTGCCCGCGATTTCGCCTTTCCCATTTTGGAATAACATTTTTAACTGTTTTATACAGCGTTTTTAATAATAAAATTGCACAATAACCATACTTCTTAATTCCTCACTTAACGTATGAGCAATATTTAAAGAAAGATTAACGATATTAACAAGCAAACGCATTTTTAACAGAACGACCAAGGTTTATAGTTATAAATGTAAGTTACTGATAGATATGCATTTGTTGTCATGAATATGATTAGCCGTTGAAAGTCAGCTAGAATTGCATTTGATACTAAGCCCGATGATATTAAAACACGTTTTTTAGTTTGATATGGCGTCATATCTATATTAGGTACTAACTTTATAAAGAGGAAAAATTTGATTGTTTATTTGCAATGAGTAGGCTCCGAAACTACTGGACCTAAACTCCTTTCACTTAGTGAAAGTTACATCATACACGGGTGACATAGACTATACTTTACGCAGGTAAAATCACGGGAAAACAGTTACTATGTAAGCTATAACCAGCGAAAGATTAAAGACGCTTCGATTGATATCTCAATTGTGAAATTATGTTATAGTTTAGAAACCGCTCAAAATCATAAACCTCCATTAGACTTCGCGTTAGTCGGGTAAAAAGATTTACTAGGTTTGGACTGAGTTTACAACTATACTGTCTAGACAAATATTGTTTGTTACACTATCAAGATTTAATATTTAAATATGAGAAAAAAAAGATGGGAATTTTAATTAATTAGCTTTTAAACTTTTGCGCAAGAACATCAGTCACCACCACACCACATCAGTTGTAGCTTACTTTAATCACAGATACACCTATAATTCACATTTTTTCCGACGCCCTCCGTTTTGGTGGTATCGTCCAGTTAGTTTATCAATACTATATGTAATATGTGATAGTCAAAAGAATCTATTCTATAACTTACTTTGTTTCTGTGTGCTGCTGGATCGGTAGAGTGTGCCCTTTTGCATATTTGTCGTGGGCCACGTTTTTTGGCACCCACATTAACATCTAGTAAAGATAAATGACAATAGTTTATCATAATTACATAAACAATTATCGCCTTGTGTATCATACTCGTTGGCATATTTGACGATGTCAATGACAACATTATGTTTTTGGCACAAAGTGTCCAAAGGGTCAAAACCACCGCAATCTACGAAACAAATATTATTAGGAGTTCTTCAAGTCCATTGTTAAATATTTAACAGCCAATAACTCCTCTACAAGGCAATTGAACCAGACACATATCTGGAGTTATTACACACTGGTTTATGACGAAGCTACAAATAAAAAAATCGATATTACCAGATCGTTTCTATAATATTACAGTAAAAGTAATTATAGCTTACAAGAGATTAAATGTGCTATTTTGCATTGGTTGTATGCCTTATTTGTGCTTCATAACTGATATCGATGGAGAAGTGAGATAAAAAATATGATTCACGGTCAACTTTATTTTATTATTGAACTTTTCTACATTGTCTACGGTATGAGTTGTACTTTCAATGTTTCTGTAACACAGGTGTCATGATTTCTGCAATACAATCTGAGCAATGCATGTTTAATATAATATTTGTTATTTAAGAATATAAAAACGTTACCCAGCTCCTTTTCAGAGCGAAAAATAACCAGAGATACTGTCTCATTTATAATTAATTATATTTACATAAGTTATGTTCAGGTATATATCGCAACATCGTACCTAAGTTCGAAAGAGGTGATGGCACTGCTCTCTTCATAGTGTGTGTGGTATTTTTTGTATTTTTTATAAAATTTTATTAAACTAAATGTCAAACTAAGAAATTTATAAATATCGCTTTTGATGACATTTATACCTGTAATTTTTGACAACATATTCCTCTGTAGTAAATTCTCTTTGCTTCTGTATATTAAAAAAAATACACAAGTAAGTAGTTTTAATATATATACGCTGTATTTCACCAATGAAATGTCGGCAGTGCTATCTTTAAAGACTGAAGTATTTTTCACCTTGGCCCATTTGATAATCAATAAAAAAATTCATGGCCGAACAGATTATTGTTGTAAGGTCATGTCAATTTTAGCAATGTGTGTTTGTGTAAATAGCGAAAAATTTACTCGTTATTTTGAATATTGGTGCACAATTTTTTTCCATAATAGCGACGCTTTACGCATATAACATGTATAAAAAAGTTTTGTAATAGTTTCATTTCTAAATATAAATAAATTAATATTTATTTACATTTTCATACTTAATTTATCTTATCATAATATGTCGAGAAATAATATATCTTAACATAATCCCATCGCTCGTATAAGATCCTCCCAGTTAATCAGGCATCAGATATGTTTATGCCAATCTCTTCAAATTCAGAAACTGTATTAAAAAACTTGTGGTAGACCTAAATGTAGCATCTTTTTCTTTCTGTTTTTTCATATTAGTAAAAAAAATCTTTATCATATCTCATTGTAAACACTTCTACACAGTTTTTACTTATTATAAATATATATTTTGATTAATGTCTGTTGTGTTACCTAATAAATAAATAAATAAAATTTAATGGTAGTAAATAAAGTGTAAGTATATTGACAAAAATTTATCAGAATAATAAAGTGTTTAAATTCTGATTGATCAAAAACAACACCGTTACCAGCTAGTGGACAAACAATAAATTGATTACAAATATCAGACAATAAATTAATTATCTTTGACCTACTTAGACATAATTAAGTCAAGTGGTGTACAAGAAATTCTAAATAAACAAACAAAATGTGCTAAGATAGGTAGATATTATATAACACATTTTTAACGGAATATTTGTACAGTATTATAATAATGAAAATAGGCCTATGTTTATAACAATATAAAGCTTAAAATTTTAATCGAATATGTACATAATTTCATGTACTTCCATCGAATAAGAAAAATATAATCATTAATTAAAAAATCCTACCTATATCTGTAGGTATGGATTATAATCTTTACTTCTATACTAATATTATAAAGAGGAATGATTTGATTGTTTGTATGTTTGTTTGCATCGAATAGGCTCCGAAATTACTGGACTGATTTCAAGAATTCATTCACCTACGGGTAGCTACATCATACAGGATTGACATAGGTTATAATTTACGCGAGCGAAGATGCAGGAAAACAGACAGTTTTTATAAAACTGAATAGTTTGTTTGTTTGTTTAGTTGAACGTGCTAATTTCATTAACTGGTTTGAAATGAAAAATGTTTTTTATGTTAAAAAGTCCAATGAATGAAGAATGAAGCAGCAATGAAAAATGTTGAAAAACGAAAACCGCGCGGTTGAAACCGTTGGCAGAAAGCTAGTTATGATTTATGTAAACAGATTTTACTAGCAATCTTCATCATCATCATCACCAGCCTATTAATTTCCCCACAGCTGGGGCTCGGCTTTTCCTACGGATGGAATCGGATCATTTTGAATAAGGAGACTGGACCATTACCCACCACGTAAGCCCAATGCGGATTGCTGGGTGTTAACGAGTGCAGATGCAGACGGGACCAACGGCTTAACGTGCCTTCTGAAGGACGGAGGAGCTCGAGATAATAATTTTTTGGTCACCCATCCATTGACTGACGTTGCTTATCAACCGTATCACAGACTGAGCGCGCTAACTACTGCGCCATCGAGCTTCTCAGCTCAGCTCTTGCAGTCTTCGTACCTATCATAAATCAAATATTTGATTGAAACGTCATAATCATTAAAAAAAATTATTGCTATTATTATTAATAACACTTAAAGTGGCCTCTAAATTATGTAAGCATATCAATTTGACGTGCGAACGTTTGTGAATTTTAAAGATAAACAATAATTTTATCTTTAATGACCCTGTCACAATTAAATAAGGTTTTATAGGTATGATAATAACCGTGAAGTAGAATTTACTTTTCGAGAAAACCTATAAATAAAGTTATGTCTATTCTATAATAATATAAAGAGGTTAAATTTTAAATTTCAATGGTAATACATATTTAGAAATACTTATCCAATCATGAACATTTTTTCGCTTGCAGAAAGGAAGGGTAATATTTATATTAGCCAAATATGAAGCACATTGAAAAAGGGAAGCGTTTTTCCAAAATGTAATCAAGATTTTAGAATTAAGATTAATTTTGAGTTCCTTTTATTGCAAATAATATACAAACATTCTAAAATCAAATGTTTTAAAAACGTATGGGACTTTTTAAATGGAAGTCGCTACGTACATGAAATGAAATATACAATGTGTGCGCATAAAATAGTCAGTAAATCTAGCTATCTAAATCTATTATTCACAATGTTACAATCCAAATGACATAAAAGAGAATCTTTCAAATATTTTTCTAGGACTTTATTTTTATTAAAACTAAGAACAAGTTATCGAAATTTTTAATCACAAGAAATCATTCTAAACTTAAATAAAAAGGTAAAAATGATTAAATGACATATTTGACCCATAATAAATTAGATAGCACACTTCGTAAGTTTATTAAGAGAGTACATAAGTAATATCGTAACGTGTAACGCCCGCACGTCACTCTACACTAGAGTCTCTATGTTATGTGTCTATGGCTTCTTCATATTTAAATAGTGATTTGCGTTTAATTTTGAAATATAATAGCAAAATGTATGTGACGCCTCCCAAGCCTTGAATATATGTTTAAGAAATGCTACACCAACATCAATAGTAGAGCGACCTTTTTGTGAAACCATATTGTTTAGTATGCAGTAATTTTTTTGAATAAAACGAAGACAATAACTGTTCGAGATTATTTTTTCAAAGTTTTTACTAATCGTCGGTAATATTGATATAGGTTTATAATTACTATGGTCTTCCCTATTACCGGATTAAAAAGAGGTATAACTTTGCTAAGCTTCATAAGATTTGGAAAAATTCTTTCATCTATACAACGGTTAAATATATCAGTCAAGTAAGGGACTATAACATGAACTACTTTTGATAATATTAAGAGATATGCCCAATAAATCGCGTGTGTTTTTTAATTTCAGACATTTGGAAGTTTCAATAACATCTAAAAAACTAATTTATTTAAATTTAAACTGGCTGTCAGCCTTAGGCACGTATTTTTATAAAAGAGCCTTTGCGGCAGCTGGTAAAGATTTTCAACCAGATGTTTCAATTGGTGAGTCTAGAAAATACTCATCCAATATATTAGCAATTTTATCATGAGATTTTATGGTCGTATTATTAAAGTTAAGTGTCAGAATATCTTCACGTATTTACTCCTTACCGGTTTCACGATTTATTATATTCCAAGTTGTTTTAATTTTATTATTGGAATTCTTTATTTTCTCTTTAATTAAATTTGACTTTGCCGCAGAACACACCCTTTTGAATAGTTTTTCACGTAATCAATAAAATTTAGAGTTTGATTATATTTTCTTAAATCGTATAATTCATAAAGTTTGTTTCTACATATATAACTACCTGTTGTAGCCCAGTTACAGAACTGTAGCTTCTGTGTAATTTTTACGGTCTTACACGGAAAAGCCTTTTCAAATACATTTTTATAAGACCGAACAGATTACTATATAGAGCATCAGGCCCATGATTTAGCCATACCATCTTAATTAATTTCTCATCTATGTTATTTTTAAAAATATCTAGGCGTATTTTAGTCTACACCTAATTATTTTACGCTCATTAGTAATATTAATCCTACATGTGGTCTTCAGTCCGTAATGGTCAGATATAAGATTGTTGAATACCTGTTTATAGGATCATAATATATACTATTCAAACAAGTTGCTGAATGTGCCGTTACTCTAGTAGGCTCAAGAAATATATTAAAGCATTTAAATAATGATAGCAAACTAACGGATGTTGTACTGTTCACTAGAAGATCTACATTAAAATCACCTCTTACAACCAAATATTTGTTTTTAGTCTGTAATTTCCTAAGTACATTTTCCATTACAGACTTAAAAGTTCCATAGCCACTATAGGAGGTGTACACATACTACAATTATACTACTTAGCCCCACACAGGATAGCTCAATATGACGTTCTACTGAGAGATTCACTATATCTTTACGCTCCTTAAACTTGAAATTATTATTTACAAATATTA